CAGAAGCGCCTTCTCTATTTATTCCTCATGAAATAACTAATGCAAAGTAATAGATAACAGGATACATTTTGTCATGTTGGGTCCATTATGAACACAGTAATAAGGAAAAACTTAGCGTGAATTCTGTTGTGTAAAAACCTGTATTTCATTCATAATCACAATGCATAGCTTTTCTAGTGTTTGTTCATGGATATCAAGATCTGAGCCATTAACATTTGCATAACCTCAAACTCATCTGTGAGTTATTTTTACTGAAGTAATTGGAAAGTGTTTGCCATTGACAAATATATTCAAGAGAATTTGTTTGGGCCTTCTAAAAATATAAAATAATTTGAATAATACAGACAGCTTTCTAGATTCCATTTTAACATGAATGCTTTTTAAATAATGGTCAATTGATAGCAGTTTTCTGTAGATGAGAATGACACTCATGGATGTAATTCTTTGTTTATGCCAAAATGGTTCCCTTAAGTCAATTAATGTTAGCTTAACAGAGTAACATTATGAGATAAGCAAGTCCCTGAAAGCAACCTTAAATTGCCTTAATAATTTGACCAGTTTCATGATTAAATGTCTGTTCAATGTGCAAAAGGATCTTTTTTAAATTTACCTTTTCTTTTAAAAAGTATTAGTATTTTGATTGAAAGAAAAGATATACAAATATATATTGAACAATTATAATTAAAGCCAAAGAAATAATGTCCTTCACTGTCAATGATAATAACTTTAGGTGTAAAAGATCACTTAAAGGAAAAGTCTAAAACCGAAGGGTACTGAACAATTCCATAAATGATAGAGGAACACAAGATTAGACTTTCTTTTGCTAAATGGATTTTTAAATACTATCATATTTCTAGAAACAAATTAAAAAGCACACTCTGAGTCATAGGAAAATATTTAACCATTTTGTTGATGAGTTTTCCTACTGAGATAAACTTGTATCTTGGACTTTAACTATTGAGTATTTTGACAGGAATTAAATCAGGAAGACTAATACATTTGAAAAACATGTTATGGTGAGACCCCACCTGCAGTGCTGCATCCAGCTGTGGGGCCCTCAACATCAGAAGGATATAGACCGGTTGGAGTGAGTCCAGAGGAGGCCACGAAGATGCTCAGAGGGCTGGAGCACCTCTGCTATGGGGACAGGCTGAGAGAACTGGGCTTGTTCAGCCTGGAGAAGAGAAGGCTCCGGGGAGACCTTATAGCCCCTTCCAGTACCTGAAGGGGCCTACTAGGAAGCTGGGGGGGAATTTTTACCAGGGCCTGTAGTGACAGGACAAGGGGTAACGGGTTTAAATTGAAAGCGGGGAGGTTTAGATTGGATATCAGGAAGAAGTTCTTCCTGGAGAGGGTGGTGAGGCACTGGAACAGGTTGCCCAGAGCAGCTGTGGATGCCCCATCCCTGGAAGTGTTCAAGGCCAGGCTGGATGAGGCTTTGAGCAACCTGGTCTAGTGGAAGGTGTCCCTGCCCATGGCAGGGGGGTTGGAACTGGATGATCTTTAAGGCCCCTTCCAACCTAAACCATTCTATGATTCTATGAACAATGTTAGAGTACTTTTCTTGATTTTGTTTACTTAAACAACCAACTAAAACACTGAAAATATGTAATTTCTTTAATAACTATTAATAAATGTTCACATCACTGCCACAGCTAGAACTCTGATGAGTTTATTTCCTCTTATGGGGAACCCACTTATTTAGTCTTTTAAGTATTGCTTCTTTAAGTACTTCAAAGATACATATCATATTTTGTGCTTTTTCTTTTTTTTTTTTAATTTTAAAGTAGGAAATCCTCACTAGAGAAATGATTGATGAAAGAAAAACAACAACAAAAAAAATTCTGCATCAGTTGGCTGTCACTGATTAATAATGTCCCAACGGAGTTGAAAAGATGTGGGTAGAGAAACTGAAGAAAGAGCCTGGACTTGATTTCTTTGTGTCCATACAAGCTTTTGAATGTAAATCCTCAGGCAGAAGAATAATTATTTTCTACCAGTATTGTTTTCTCTATCTTCATATAAAAATCTGTATAGAATCATCTATTTAAAAATAGCTTTTCTAACACTTACGTCCTTGACATTCCTCCTATCTCAAAAATAGTAGCAGAAAGAAAGAAAATTAATCAAAATTCTAATAAACAATAAAAACCAAAGAAAAGGACTTCACGACACATAGAACAGAGAAATGCAAGGCTTCTCAGTAGTCCCAGAGGACCTTAATTTTAATTATCCTAGAAGACCTTAATTTTAATTATTTTTACTTATGTTCGATTAACATAAAAGATGCTCACATATAAGCATGGGCAATAATAGGGAAATAATAGGTATAATTCCCATGTATGAATACAGGTTAATATGAAAGCAAGAATTTCTAGTAAAATTGATTGACATTCTAGGAAAAAAGTTTGCTATAATGAATAAAAAAGTATTAGAAAGAGAAAATGCCAACACTTTAGAACATGTGTAGAATATTAAACTACAAATTTACAACTATAATTTTGAGGAATTTAATTATTGATTTAATCAAAATTAATCAAATTAGTATTTGTTGCAGATCTGACTCCACTCTGATTTCCATACTGTGAAATCAAAGGTATTATTTGAGAGAAAAAGTAACATGCTAGATGAAAAACGATGACATACTATTTTGAAAAGACAGATGCTTTTCCTGTAAGTTTAATATTTTTTAGCACAACTTAGCCTATTGAAGCAATTTTAACTATTTTACATAAAATATCTTAATGATGATCTTACTGGATCACAGAAACCAAGATCAGGTTTTTTTTAGCATTTTGGTTTAAAACCATTCCCTTTGAAGTCAAATATAAAACTATTATTGGTTTTAATAAGAGTAGAGTAAAACAATGATAATAATAAAATTCTTTCTAAATTCTGTTTAGAAGAAACTCCAGAAAATACTGATGTAGGTGTATAGAAAGTATCTGAAAGCCAAATTTGGCTCATATTGTGGCTAGATTTTACATAATCTAAATAAAAAACCGTAATAATTTTATTATTTCATAAGAATTTTCCTTTTTGGATAATTAAAGGCAAATTGAAAATGTGTAAAAGGAAATAGAGAATAAAAAATAAACTTGAGGATGAATTAAGAATAAAAATGGTTAAGGCACAGAAAAAAATCTGCTATGGATTGCAATTAATAGAAATAATCTTTTTTGAAGGTCAAGATATAGGTAGAGTAATCATGTTTCTAATGTGTATATGAACATTATGTAATCAAAAGGAAATTTTGGGAATATAATTAAAATTAATTTTCTAAGTTCATTAGGTATGTGTGTAAGAGAACTGAATGCTATTGTCTGTATTTAGTTGCAATTATAATTCTTGAATCTTCTTGGTTTGGTCTCAGAAGCTTATGCTTATGTGAAGCAAATTTGTAGTGGGGTAACATTTTTTATTCAATGAGCTGTTATAGTTTGGGAAAAATGGACATGCTTGTCTTTGGAAAACTAATTGCAATTCCATAACCAACTGACCCTGGAAAATTAATACTGAAGATTTTGCAGCTGATTTCTAATTAGGATAGAGAAGCATTTGAAAGATTTAAACCAGTGTACTTAGCTTCAGAACTGAAGTTCAGTTTGTGTCAGGAATCAAATAACTCCATGCACGCTGATGCTGTTAGAAGGAAAGACACATCTTCAGATCAAATGTTGCAAGTAGGAGGCTGTATGTATTTTTTAATCTCAAATGGTTTCAAAGTTTTCCACTAGGAAAACTTAACTAAAGCAGAGTTCTGTCTGAAAATCGCTGGCAATAGAGTACTGTGAGGTTTCTGCTTTTGGACCATGAAATGTTTCCTAAATGATCAGCAAGGCTTTAAAGAAGTATGCTTGCTCATCCTGTTCCCAGAGCCTGTATCACCCTGAATAGCAGAATTTCATATTCCATTAGTGGCTTTAAGATTCTAACTGATTCAGCTGAGGAGACAGAAAATATCAGCATCAAATCTACTGCCAAGGCAAAAGCTCGAAGTATCATTATTGCCAGAATAATCAACCCTGGAGGGAAGCACAGATGACACTAGTATACTTACCATATGAACTTTATTACATCAAATGGCCCAATTTTCCTTATTCCACTTGCATTTATTCTGAATTCCCTACTTGCAGTTATTATCAATCATAAGTGGAAAGTCATAAATTGGCAGCTTTAATCAGGCAAGTTGTGTATGTACGAGCATCAGAAAGAAATAAAATTTAGTATTTTTATCCCTCTTGAAATGTTAGAAGAGGCTCTATAGACTGTTCATGGTTGATCTGTTAGATGATGCAGTGAAGGAACAGTATCAATTTTCCAGCTTCCAACATGCAGAAGATGCATTAAACAATTAGATCAGAGCCCACATGCTTAAACTGAATATAAGATTAAGAAAGAATTAGGAAGCTTCTTTCAACTCCTTATTTGCAACAAAGTCCCACTACAGCCAAAGGATTGATTTATGCATAATTAGATTAAACACAGAGGTTCCCCCTTAAACAGACTCACTTATTAAGTGCATTAACACTGGCAAGGAAGGACAATTTGAAGTTACAAAAAAATGTAGTCTTGGAAGTTTACTTTTAATTTTGGTTTTCTTCCTACTGCAGAGCTACAGCCCTGTCATTATGAATGAAACTTGAATATCTGGACTTTTCTAACCCTTCCCTTCAGTAAGAACCAAACTGCATGTTTAAATGAGAAGGCCATAACTCATTTGAAGACAAGACCTGAACAGAATAATTTTTATTACTATCTACTTTTCCCTTTTAAAAAACCACACTTTAAAAGTAATTAAATGTACTTCAATGTTTATGCAGTTAAAACCCTTGGGGCCATGAAAACTGTTCTCATATTGCCTCCTGCTCCTTGTGCACAGCTGTCCCTTGATTAACCAGTTCTCCAGGACACATTCATTGGAACAGTACCTGAACTTACTACCCCACGTTCACAATTTACACCTTCAAGAGCCTGATTTTTGCTCCAGTTCACTGGATTTTTTCTCTTGTTCACTAACTGTGAACAGTTTTCATGATTTTATAGGGTATAAAACTCATACTTTCTCACTTCCAAACTTCTTCAAGATTGTGATCATCAGATTATTCATTGCGTAAGTCCTTGTTCTCATGAAGTTATCACTCTCATTGTCTGATAGAAAAATAATCATTTCACAGTCAGTAAAATCCAAAGCAGTGCTGACAAAGTCATGGTTGTTTGATAACTACAACACAGGCACCAGCTCTTCCAATATTTAAGGAAGCCATCTGCAGGAAAAATAAACAAACAAACAAACACAAACAAAAAAACGAATTAACTGAACAGGAACAAGGCATGCCAGAGATCGCCAAAGTGCTGTGTCAACAATATTCTAAAATGGTCAAAACTAATGGGAATATAAACCAGTCAAAATAAATACAACCCCTAATACCCTAGTATTGTATTTTTAAAGTTACTTACTCGCATCTGACATGTTCCACATTAAAGTGCAAGACCAGAAAAAGGAAGTGATTTTAGAGCTGTCATCAGTTTTGTGAACTGTTGATACGCAAAAAGGTTTCTGTGAGCTGTGCTCATAGTGGAAGCTGATGCTTCCACTTCAGTGAAGGCATGGACAAGGCTACCAATACCAAAATTGTATGGTTCCAATATTCCTAAATGGGTTGAATTGCCATTTAGAATAAATTTGGCAGCTTTAGACACTATTCAATACAACACAATGGTCAGTATCATTTAGGAGACTAAATCTTGCTGACACTAATACAGTAGAGTCAACATATATAGTGTGTAATAACATTAGTAATTATAATACACTGTGATTAATGGTACTGTACATATGAAAGTAGCGATGTTACTTTTCTTAGCAATCTGTCAAAACATGGTTATTAATGGGTTTTTATGTGGACTGGTGGTTTTGGAAAAGAATATTTCCAAATTTGTTTCTTATGTCCTATAGCATGTCATTAACATGCTCTCTGGTAATTTAAATAATAGTAAGCAGAAGCCCCTCTTTACAATTTTAAAAAGAAATAGACATTTCTGAGTATAATACATCTGCCCTGTATTAAATGGATTTTTTTTACGGTAAGATCATCTTTTTGAATTACGTACTTTTCTTCACTAACTGCAATGGGAACTTAAAGTGACTAATTCAGGTGTAAACATCTACACGGCTGGAACAAATTACTTTTTCAGAAAGTCTTAAAACAGACTTAAGAACAGAGAGTGTTGAAATAGTTCTTTGTTTCTTTTTAAGTCTTTGCTATGAATCCTAAACTGTCAAGCGCTTCCTTCTAAAACGAAATCACTAGTCCCCAGCTTCTTGCATTCACATTATACCAATTAATTCTTATATGGCTCAACATTAGGAACATACATACAGTTCAACATTTCAAAATATACATCAAACAGAAGAAAATGGAATTGAAGAATGAAATGAAAACTCGGCCCTCTACATAAAATAAACTTTCATATGAAAGATCTTCACAACATGCTCGTTACCAATTAAAATTCCAGATCCATTTTGATACATTTTATGACATTTCTTCTGCATGAAGGTGAAAAAAAAAAATTGCTATAGAAGTTGATCAAAACAAGAATTTTTCCTGAGAAGTAACAATATTTCTAATGACTGCTTATTCTGTCTTCTTGCAGTTTCTTAGGATCTAATTCTCTCTCTTCAGAGGAAACTCCTGACATAATGCCTGATAAAATACCAGGACTATTTTTACAGCTATGGTAACCTCAGATACTATAATTTTTCAGAAAAGTAATATTTTTATGTACAAGTATCAAAATATGTTACAGATCAAAAAGATAAAGACTTTATGATTACCTGTGTCCATTCATTAGTTTGAGGGTCATATGCTTCCATAGTGTTCAGGTATGTTTGACCATCATAGCCACCTACTGCATATAATTTGTCACCAAGGAGACAGACACCAACAGCATCACGAGGCATACTCAGTGGAGCTACCATTGTCCATGTATCAGTTTTTGGATCATACCTGAGGAAAGAGAAAAGAAACTGAATGTCCAGGGAAGAGATAAATGTCAGTTCAGGTTGATCTTCATTTGCATACAGTCATGTTTTTCTGGATAAAAATTATCTTTTAGCATTCCATCCAAAAAACATTCGTCCTAACAGCAAAACCAGCCGTACAGTTTCATTGTGTTCTTAATTTAAACCTCTAAGTGTTGATTGGGATCTTTTACTCTCTGAATTTTTCAGTATCATTGTACGTCTCTAGCTGAAGGAGTTTCTCAGCCAGTGAAATGTGCCAACATGCATTGTATCTTCGCTTGCCTAAAGGCAATAAATCGTAACAGACTCTTTGATGCCCTACTCTTGAATTACAAAGGTCAAGGTGAGGAGATGCAAAAGCAAGGAAACTAAATACAATTGACATTTTTGGACATTGTTTTTTTTAATACACAGGTATGCAAGGCTAAGCAGAATTCCTATAACTCAGTTCTGTCAACACAACAAAACTGCACAAGAACTTGTCTTCTGTAATTGCCAGGAAAATTTCTTACATCCTTTCTTCTGCTAAAAAACATCGTACATTTCATCTTTATAATAACTTGGTAAGCCCTAGGGGGAGAGGGGTTATGATAGAAGTTCCTGAATGTAGAAAGCAATCAATTTGAAATCAAGGTGAGACGAAGGGGAAAAACTATAGATCACTTAAAAGCTGTCAAGTTCTGACTGATGTTCTGGAAACAAAGCTACTTTATAAAAAATGCCAAAATATCTTCAAAATTTTATAATTCTTAAAAAGGAATTAGACATTTTACCTTTAATAACGAATGAGATGTTTGTGTTTTTTGATCATGCGTTATTTTTGAATGTAAAAAATAGACACACTAAACCACATTCCAGCCACCTTCTAAACTTATCAATCACTGTGAAGGCCATGAGAGTTTTTCATGTTATAGTGGAGTCCACCAGCTAATTCATATCTACCCTATGTAAGCTGATAGCCTTACAAGTTCTTATTTGTTAGTCCCAACCTTTAGTCTGGAAGCTAACTGCCCATGAAGTACGTTAACCACATTTTTTGCTATCCGTGCAAAAGTACTTAAGATGAGGAACACTGTATTCAGATAAGAGTACATAAAATAGCATTAAGGATATGTGGTTTAGTTCGTTGTTACAATCTCCCTTAAGAATGACAAATGTGATGGGATGTGGTTTGTCTTCAACACCAGAAGGGTTTTCTTCTCAGAGAATGAAAAATGAAAGGAAAACTCCCTTGCAAGCACCAATAAAAAGTGGTTGGAAAGATTTCATACTTAGTAATATTGTCACTAGTAGTCTCAATATAAACTTATTTCATTGAAAATTCTCTTTATGTTCCTTATAAATAGAAGGCCATGAAGTTAGGGCCTGTAAATGCAGGCTTCATGGGATTTCTCTGATGAACTTTCCATCTGTTGGAGACAAGAAGTAAAATATTTGGCAGTCTATGATCTTGCTTATGTTCAGTAGAGATGGCAATGAGTCTAAGACTGAGCAAAATCATATGGATAACATAAGGAGTAAGCTTTAACTTACAATTTTTGGATTACATATTGGATAACTAGTAAATGCCAAGCCAGATTCAGAAGCAATAACTGATATTTAATTAAAGTTTAACCCTTTCAAATAATAAATAGAGAAATCTCTCCCAGTGCCAATCTTTACTTATATGCTAACATAAAACAACTACCAGAACATACTTACTTTAACCTCTGCAACCTGTACCTATTTGGAGAGTGTATTTTCTTTATTCTATTTTAAAGTGTACAGAAACAGAAAATTCAAAACTTCATGAAACATTTGAATTCAATTCAATTCAAATTGAATGCTATAATAACTCCAACTGTTTCCTTCTGCCATATTGGATATTCCTGAATTTGCAGAATATCCACTTGGTACTGTAAATTCATGGTACTGTAAATACAGTGCATTAAGGCTTATATGAACACATCAGGAAGTGGCAGTGTCGCTAAAGGAAGCAGTGTCATGTACTGTAAATATCCATCACTTAAGCAGTTGTATACTTCTTTGCTCAGATACGTTTTTAAAGTTTCAAAATACTTCTAAACACAATTTAGTGTGATAAAATTATTTCAAGGCTGAATTTTTATCTCTGCAAAGATCAGTTTATGACTCGGAAATGTGTAATACCGTCACTTAAAATCAAAGATTTCTTAAATGAGGTGTGAAAAAAATCTATTTTTGTGTATATGATAATATATAATACTACTGTGAAAAAAAGGGAAAGAAAACCTCAAAAGAGATTGCATTCTACAAACCCTTATGGAATCTTTCAAGTAAATAATAAGCTGGCATTTCTTGGGGTAAAAACATCTGTTAAATTTTATCATTACTTAGCTAAGAAAATTATGCTACTGGAAATTACTTAGTATTAAAAAATGTATGAATAATTGGATACCTTTCTACATAGTCCAGCAGTCGGGAACAATGGTTAGAAGCAGGGGCATCATGGCCTCCAACTGCATAAAGAAAGCCATCACATGTAGCCACTCCTACACCTCCTCTTCTCTTACACATAGGAGCACACATATTCCATTTATTTGTGTGAGGATCATAATATTCCATTGAGCTCAAACATGAACTTCCATCCCGACCTCCAACTGAATATAACCTAAAAAAGTCACACAAATAAAAACGTTAATAGACCAAGAGCTCAGAACTGTAGAAATAAAACCAAGGAGCATTTTCTTTTTAATCTGACGTAAGCAAACAGGAAAAAGAAAAATAATATAATCTCTTCAATATCATATGAATTTCATATGGTCAGCAAAAAGATGTTTTTAATATTATTACCAAATTGACATTCTACTTAGTTCTTTGCCCACCTGAATAAAAAGGAAGATTTTTTTTTCTCATAATGGGTATTTTCATTTGATTACAGCATATACTGACAAGAGTGCCAGAAATGAAATCAGATTTGTCTCTGTAGATTTACAAATCATTTAAGCAGATTTGCTGCCTAACTACTCTTCATCTGTGAAGTGGAAGTGAAAGTGCTAACTCATATTTGGTAACCCAGACAAACAAGAAATATGCAATCCATTTATTATAGTTTCTCTCTGTGTATATACATGTATCTATATCTATCTATATATTAATTTGCCATTTTTATCATGCACCAAAGCAGTGGGAATTAGTTTGACAACTTCTGTCCTGTAGTTTAATATTCTTTCTTGTATAATTCTTTAATACTGAATATATTCACAAGCTTCTAATTCTCACTTCTTGGAGAAAAAAAATAGAGAAAGAAATGTTTTTAAGAAGTACTTCATAAGCTTTGTATGCTAAAGGACAAACCATATGGAAGAATGTAGTCAGTCTTTGATCTACTATTCAGCCTATTCCACACACAAAACTATCAATAGGATGCTCATGTCCAGAATGAATTTTACACTTACAATGTAGTAGAGATCAAATATGCAGTGTATTGAAGAAAGAATATCACATTATGTTTTAAACATGGATTTTTACGAGGTGCTACCTCAGTTTCAAAGACCTTGCTTATACTGAAGAAAAGTCTTGCCCACACTAGTATGTCTACTCAGCAAGTAAGAAAATGATACCCCCAGGTACTGTATACTGATTTGCTTCATCAGAACATATTATTAGTTTTGAGTTCTGTAGGAAAGGCATGGAAAACTTCTGACAATATTTTAAATTTGAATTAAAAAAAAATGAGGTTTAACAAAAAATAATTTGTGTTCGTAACTACCTGCAGGCAAGAAACTTGCTTCCTTCCTCCCTTTATAATGATTCCCAGGAGGAAACAGCTCTGATTGTTCTTTCCCACTATTACCATGCTGCATTCGTTTCTTATATGAATCCTTTTGCAGTCTGTTGCCTTTTGTACAGTTCCTGGAGATTAACTATTAGAAACACAGACTATTTTAACCACTGAGCAGTTTAGGATGCAAAAGCTGTCTGTGTGAAGCAATTATTCATTCGGAAGCTTTTACTGTCCTAAGAGCTCCATGAATTCAGAGCTACTTAAATGTGCATTTACCAGTACATTTCATTGGCATGGATGCTGATGAATAAGGAAGTACCGTAGTACCACTAAATATGTCACTGAAGCCATAGAACGTTTTGGTACTGCCTGACAGACATACTTGTGCTCTGACTAACGTAGCCAGGGGAACCCATACTCCTCTATGAAAGATGTTAAAGCAGAACTTTTTTTTTTGCAACTATTTCTGTGGATCAAGCCCTAAGACATTTACCTTTCTATATGATTATCAGATATCTACAGGTGAGATCCAACTCGAGATTCAGACACTTACAGAGTGTTAATCTGTGGGTGTTTACAGTGTGCAGATTGCTGTTATGCCCAGGGTAGCCACCCGAGCCTGAAGAACAACTTGGTTCACCTGCCACAACCATACTTTTCTTCCTCAGCAGAGAGTAAGAACAGCAGTACAAGCACTAAAAAAATTTAAACGTATGATCCAAATACATTTACATTAATATAAATGTAAATCTAAGCATTTACATCTAGGTGTCTGCAAGGATATTACCTTTATTTTCAAAGATGGGACTTGGTTTAGCTACCCACAGAGAGTGATCAAACGTTATTTGTGACACTTAGGAAAGGGAGACATTCCCTCTGGGCTGACATATATGACAAAGGCTACACAGGAGAAACATGCATGATTGCTGGAGATAGGTGAAATGATCCCTAAAAATGAAGACCATGGTTAACAAGACTGAGATTTCCAAACAGATTTTCAAATAAATAAATATTTAGACAACTAACTACTTCTCATAATTTTAAAAAATGCAAAGTACCAACACTTCTGCAGAGTTCAGTGTGAATAATCATGTGTTCTACTAGTCTAAATACCTGCCGCTTTGTTTATTTCTCCTGGCATGAAAAGTTCTCATCTATTCCATTGTCTTTCTACCTGAAATAAATCTATGAGCTAGTTATTTCCACAGTGAAGTTGAGCATGCTTTTTCATTCCTTTATTTCAGTTAAGACAACTAGTAAAATATAGCTAAAGGCATTCTTGCATTGTTGGTAAAGAGATGGCAAATGCTGTTCATAACTAACTGATAGAAGTCTCAGCCAATGACTGAGGCCATCCGGTTTTTGTTAAAATGCTCTATGCTATTCAGAAAAAAGAAAACAAAATTAATTTCCAAAATCAGATTTTGGAACTATAATTTTAGAGTTTGATGGTGTTTATATCTCAGCAAGGAATAGTTCTTAAGACTAACGATAAATTTTATTTCACAGTGGTCTAGATCAGACAAATAAAATTTGGAAATGGAGTCATTGTTGAAATTGTTTTAAAATTGTTCTAGTTGTGGCTGAACCTGGACACCTCAGTCAGGAATTGCTTCCACTCCTCAGCTAAATTTCCTAATCCATAGGCACAAAGGCCCAAAATGACAACAGAGCAACTATACAACCAGTGCTGAATAATCAGGATACCATACACCTAACTGAAATTTTGAAACACTTATATCCAAAGATGTTTAGTAGTGTTACTTTCTTCCTAGTGATCAGAGTCCTATTTTATTAGATGACTTAGAATTAATCTGTTTTGCAGCTCTGCCTGTATTGGTAACACTTGATAGTAAAATTTTCTATAGGGAAAAGTATTATATATTTCTCTAAAAATCCTGAAAACCTGACATTACTGAAATCAGGTATCAGTCCTGCAATTGCAAGGGCTACTCTTAACTACATTCAATTCTAGTGTTTCAGTTGCAGGTACTACCTCTGCTCTGGATGATTTGTTTACAAAATTTGGAAAATACTCGTAAGGAGACTTTCATTTTCATGTGCAAGTACTCTCAGAATTCAAAGATGAAAGATAATCCAGTGAGACTGAATTTGGCAAATTTAAATCCCACAAATTCTCCCTTGTTTCTTAATTTCACAATAATAATCCACAATATTATCTTAGTAATTTTGCCTTACCTTATGTACTACTTCAACTAGCATCTAATATATAGCTCATTTTTTTCTATTTGTCCCAGATTACAGAAGTCTGTAGACTTCTTACAGTATTACAACAGTGAGCAATTAAAAAGAAAATTTGAGAAATAATAATAATCACGATCACATAATATTCCTATCTTCATTCATTTTTGAGTTGGGAATATTCTGTTAACTGAATTGAAACTTGTTGTGCATCCCATCAGAATTGCTGGGATTTCTATTATAATTATCACTGTTTAGAGTGGAAGATTGACAGGGAAAAACAACCACCCATATCACGTACTTTTATCTCCACTGATCACAGTGAAAATTTTGCCTGTGCAGATGTTATAGATTTCTATTCCCCGATGGTCTATATCTCAGGTTATTCAGACTCTGTGTGTACATATGAGTTTAGATCAAACCCAGTCTTATATGAGATGGGAATTTGTCTTTACAGGGTTTGGTCACTTCTTTTTGTATTAAGATGGATAGAGTCCTACACATTTGTGTGTGTATATCTATATATAAATAAAATGGCTAGAAACTGCAGTATAGGTTTCAAAGTAGGAGACATTAGGAGAAATCATGACTGGCTGGCTCAAAAGCGTTCATCTCAGTGCTATCATTACAAACCTTTGATAACTAATCAGAAAAGCCATTTTTTAAATTCAGTTTGACAAGCCAACCTCAAAAGAACAGACTGCCTTTGATGTGAGGTAGTATGGCTTGTGAAAACAGTTGAATTATGCCTTCGCTGCATTTCTTAATGAGGTTTTGCCTTTCAAAATTCTTTCACTGTGAATATCAAAGACCATATCTAGTTTTTACTTAGGCCAAATTGTACCCTTTTCTGCCCTTTCAGGGTGCCTGAAAGAGTAACACAGAATTACTCTGGTGCAAAGAATGTCTGCCCAGTATAAGTGAGGGGAAGATAATTTTCATCAGTGCTGAACTTCTGTATTGCTCAACCCAGTCCGTTGCTGATCTAGGAATCAGACTGTAGGAGAGGAAAGACCCATGCTGCCTTGGCTATGCCAATGAACAATAGTTCACTGGGAAAAGTTGAAAAAAAATATATTTTTCTGAATGCAAAGCATTAAGTCTTATTTCTGTGTGTAAATATGGAATGGTATTTCATGCATTTGGTGCAGTAATGCAGTAGTGGAGTAAATTAAAAATAAATAGAGTTTTACAGAAAAAAAATTAAAAGAAAAAAAAACAGTTGTACTTTTCTGCAAATTAAAGGAATAGTAACTAATGGTAGAAAATATTGAGAGAATAACACCATTTGCATGAATAAGATTATGGCAAAATTCTACTTCCTATACTATGAAGTATAGTTTCCCAATAGAAAGAAATTGTTTCAAGTTAAATTAATTCTAATCAAAGTTATATGGGTTACATTATTTCTGGAAGCCCAGCAACTGAATGCAGATTCCACCAGTTAAAAACGTTCTTGACTGTATCAGGCGATAATGTAGTTAAGGCCAAATAGTATTTGTGAATTAATCGTTTCCTATAATAAGCCTAAGGGCCTTTATTTACTCTCTTATTTAAAAAAAAACCAAAAGAGTGAATCTATCATTAAATAAGAAATTGATACTGAATTTACAGAATTACTTCCTGCTAGCCAGAGATACTGGGTTTATGATATTCATCATCTTTGTGAGTTTAGATAATTT